ATTAATGTTTTGTCTTGGATATGTGATACCTCCTTAAAGTGCAGCAAAGAATTTGGTAAGGAAGTGTCGTTTTTCAAAAACATAACTCTGATTTATGTCTGTGCAGAGATTTCTTGAAAGCGATTTTAGATCTCCAAATTTAATCTCTAAGAAGAATCTATATTGGTGCATGTCTTCAAGTTTCAGTTGTGGCTAATCAGTGTTAATTACAACTCCAGAATCATGCCTGTCTGGGTTTAAGCCTACAGAATCATAAATAATCTATAGAAATGTATATTTTTGTCTTGCCAATTCATAGATAGAACTGTCAGCTTGCAGCTTGGCCTAGAAAACAACATTTTAAAAGGCCAATAATGACATTTTAAATATAGATGTATTATTTAATCATTAAAGCATTCATTAAAGCACTCTCACCTCCAAACATTTTCCTGGCACTATTAGACAAGACTGTTTCCAAGTGCTCTATGAAGCTGTTTCCTAGGCCCTGGTATTCTCCATACCCCTAAGTGACTCTTCAAAATGTGACTTATTAATTCATCCAGTGTGAATGTATCACAGAAACATCAGAATTACTTTATTTAAGCAACCATCACCCACACTGCCTATTTTTTCATATTTTCCAAGTTTTTACCACATTTGAAAAATTAACTCCACATAATTTCATATCGGGTTGGTGTATTTTTTAGATGACATGAGTTCAGATTAGTTTGAATGCTGCATAAATCCGATAAGAGAAAAATGGTGAAAGATGAATTTGTCTGCTTCTCACCAAAAGATTGTTTCATCACATAAGAATGCTTCTGACACATAGCATTTTCCCATTAGGGGAAACACTGAACCCTTTAGCCATCCTCCAAGGCCTTAAAATACAGGGGTGGACGTCAGTGACATTGCATATTTTGAAATTATTTATCAGTGATCGATTGCTACTGTCTGGCTGCACAGCTCAGGCTGTTAAGGAGAAAAACATGTGTTTAAGGAAAGGAAGCTGCTTGCAACGTGGCAACGGGGCTCGTCCCATTCTGTCCTCTGGGGATACTTAAAGGAGACCCAAACACGTGGGACAGAAGAGGAGGTGTAATTATAAATGCTGCTTAGGGCTGCAGACGTGGCGCTGTCTGTTTCTCAGGCTTGTCTCCTGAATGTACAATGCCTTTTATTTCTCCTTTCTAAAGATTGTCAAACCATTTCTTTTTTCCTTTTTGTGGATTACATTTCTTGTATTAATTGCAGGTGTGGAGGATCTTGATAAATGATTAATGCACCAATTTAATGGATTTATTTTTATACTTTTATCACAATTAGATTTTATTATTGTTTTTCTTTATTCACAATTTTATGTTAAAATTTTGTGTTTGTCTGACTCAAGTGCACCATGAGGTCTGCACTGAACTGAAGATTAAAAATGTTTATTACCACTGATATTATTAACACCACAGGTAGGAAGGAAGTCACCACAAAATTACCATATTGACACATTCAAGGCTGAGAAAGCTAGAAATAATGTCAGATGCAGTAATTTATGTAAATTAGTGACCATTCATTCAGACAAGGAATTGATATGAATTTAATAGTTTAGAAAGGAAAAGAGTAGGGCAGAACAGAACTTCATAACAGTATGTGAATATCTTCCATCCTGTAAAATAACAAACTGGATGATTCTTGTAACACATTTTTTGGTATTCACACTAAAATAGTGTTGCTTCTTGGTACTTTAGGAGTCTATTCAGTTCAGCCATGAATTATGGTTATGAAGGCAATGATAATGATTATTATTATGATTATTAATAGGAGGTATTTGCCTATGAGGGCAATTGCACCAACCATTTTCATTTCCACGATCATCCACAACTTTTTTCTGTTTATGTTTTTGAGGCCATTCATAACTGGAATGAACATTGGCCTCGTGAAACCCCTTAGAAAATGTACTCTCTTCCAACTTGGTCCCAAAGACAATGTTTTTAAATTGCTTGCTGCCCTCTGGAGGCCACTAAAATACTACAGGATTATGTTTGGAGCACAAGGTCACTGTTTTCCTTCAGGGAAAGAGGGTTCAGCTCCAAATACCATCACTCAAAAGCACCATAACCCTTGCCAGGAGAAGCACATCTCTGTGTTTTAATGTGTAATTAAATGTGTAATGTGTTATTGCTTTATAATGTAATAATCATTGAGAAAACAAACATTGAGAATCAAGCATTGTTGTTGACTGAGATACCAGTTTTCATGACAAATATGTATATTGCAATATTGTATGTGTATCTTTTTTTAACTGTCAAATGACATGACAGCATATTAATGTGTACAGGAGCATAAAATGCATTTGTAAAACATTAGTATAAAATGATTTGGGAAAAATTATTATAAAAATAAAAACAATTTTACACACCCCACAGTGGAATGTTTGACTTGAAAAATTAAATTCCTATCTAGACACTGCATAATGTACATAATCTAATCTAATTTAAACACACAGAGTTCAGATACAGCTTCACGGAGTCACACAGTAAATGGCAAAACTGAAACCATGTTGCACTTTCTTCTTCTGCAGCTCCTTTTCCATCTTAATTTCCCTGCTGCATTCTACCTAATGCTCCAGAAACCATTATATTTACCATCATTGGTCTCTCCTGTCTGGACAGCCTAAGTTTAATCACATTCAGTCCATAGCTACATCAGTTGGGGTCAGGTACAAGTTTTACGGGACAACGCTATTGTGGATGTTATAGAAAGGCAATGATACACAAATGGAGGATTTTAAACTGCATCTAGCAGTTCATACACATGCTCAAAGTACTGCTATCAGCATCAGGCCAACAGAACAGGCAATTTTGCCCACTTTACCATGCACATACTGAATCAACAGAATTATTAACAAATGCTATGACATGGTTCCTCTTTTCTTTTCAGTAACTTGGCCCTTTGGTTTTCAGCATGTGAATAGAGTAGTGGTCTTTCAAAGCTGCAAACTCACAGCTGAAAGCGTTCTTTACCCTGCCCTTCTACAACACTACAGACCTTTTACACAAATGCATAGCTGCTGAACAAAATGTGCTTGACGAAATCACATCTATGACCTAGCACATTTCAATTTGTCATCTTTGATGCAAAAGTACAGTGCATCAGTATTTCAATTCAATTCAGAATCCAGTAATGTTTCCTCACCTATGATCAAATCTTTATCCTTCTCAAGCTTCACTTTCCTTGCTGATGCTAATATGAGAAAATAATATGTTCATTCTGCCTAATAGCATTGAAATAAGAGCTGTGGTGTGACACACAGCTCTTTTGTACAGTTTCTGGTCCTTTTATTCACTGTTTTTTCCCAGCTGAACTCAGTAAATTAAGTTTGTTAAAGGGATGCTGCTGCTGATTCAATTTCCTTTGAGTTATTTTTGGTCTTGTGCGTAAACAAAACACCAAAGCCATGAAAACAGCCATAAAGGGTAGGAAGCTAATAAAATAGTATTTTGTGTGAACTATGACTGTCATTATGACTGGGACTATTTGTGTTGCATTATTGTTAAAAGCTATCATTTAATAGAACGTCAATTGGGATTGGAGCTCTCATTAACCAAGTTACGTGTTTGTGTATACTGTACTAGGTCATAACTGAACAGACATGGATGAAAAAAAGGTTGAGAACAAATAAGGATATTTATCTGTAAACCTTGTGTTTCATGTAGAGAAAGTACTCTAATAAAACCATCTAATCAGAAAAAATCCCTGTCAGACTTGTGAATGATCACAGTAAAAATAGTGATGACAATAGATTTTTTATTTAAGAACATTTTCTCATTCAGCACCTATTGTAGGAACAAGGAGCTGGAATGCTTCAAGTGCACCACATACCACAAATGAATTCGCTAGCTACTGGTAATTCCAGGGAATTATACCGTCACTCACACCTTTGTGATTGTGTCTTAGAATGGTTGACTTGGTTTACTCTACGAATGGCACATGACAGGCATTACCGTAACAGCCTATCCTCTACGTACCGACAGCCAAACTGGTTATACTGATATAAAGCTAGCTAAACATAGTATTAGCACTAAAACTGCCCATTTTTCAACTCCAGCTGAACCAAGCTCCTTAACAAGGCCTTCGGGTTCCCTCATCTGGATGACAGAAGCTCTCTACTTCATGACTGTGCATGCAGCGTATTGTGTCAACCTTGATGACAACCTAGAAATTATTTTAAAAGGCAGAAATCTGGGGGTTTATTATTTAAAATCTAACAATCTTCAGAAACACAGCCTATTAACCTCAGTGACCGGGGTTGAGCGCATTGTGTCATTCAATTCCATTAATAAATTCTGTTATCTAAAGAAGATGGCTGTGTTACCTGCTGTGGCATGCTTATAGGTCTGTGATGGTGAAGTGGTTAATGCAATAGATTGGAAATTCTGTGCCGGTCCAAGTGCTGCTTGCAGCGATATGTGTTTTCAGCCTTCAAAGGATAATGTCAGCTGATTAACATATCTTTCCAGCAAATATGCCCTGGTGTTGCTAACTGAATAAGGTCATGGAAGCAACTCAAACGCTTGATGAAACAGACCAAATCCAGGGGGCTTTTGCTATCTACGTGGTTATGTTGTGGAATTGAGCTCGTTCAACAAATCCCCCTGATTTCACGTTAACAGCCTTAACCCTTGGCCTGTTGATTGTTTTCTCATTTTATCAGCTATGAAACTAGCAATTAAGATCTCTTCAAACCATTGGGCAAACTCTACTGGATGTCCAGTTCAAAACTTTCACCACTTGGCCTTCACAGCTATAAGGCCTGGGGGCTAGTTCAAAACAAAAGTAACTATTTTCCATGGTTGCGGTGTGTTTAATTTTGTTTGGATTCATTTCTGTCCAGTTCAAGGCATTAAGGACTCGGCCATCAAAGCTACAAAGCCTTAACGTAGCGGGAAAAGTAGCTATCACTTTCTGTCGTTATGGTCTCTTTGTTTGTTCCTTCCTTCATTTAAACCATCAACATATCAGACGACGTAGCTGCGATGGCCGAGTGGTTAAGGCGTTGGACTTGAAATCCAATGGGGATTCCCGCGCAGAGTTCGAACCCTGCTCGCAGCGCTCTTTCCTTTTCTACCTTCAACGGATAAATGCCTCCACCCTCACCCGCTGATGTCCTATGTCAGGACAGCTGTCTGTGAAAAGCATCATGGTCTTTGGTCTGGCTCTCCACCCACTGCGCTTACAGTCTAGGCAAGGTGTCTGATTGGATATTGTCTTTTCAGTCATGTCGTGCAAAGTCGGGATAGACAGAAATGAGCAAAAATTGGCGGTTGTAACGGTATTGTGTTTTAGAAAACGTCACCCGCTTACATTCTGAAGGTCATATAAACAAAATCAGCCATGATTTTCATAGCCTGACAGAGATCAGTAAAGTTGATTAATAACATGTTCTAGACATTCATAGTATGAGAATATTTAGCAAGAGGGAGGGTGTTCAGGTTTCATAGCCTTCATTAGGGGAGCTGCAGTCACCAGTGTTGAAATTCATCTAGTACAGGAAGGAAGAGGGGTCAAACACACAAGCTGCAAAGGTGTTGTGTCTTTTGTCAAAGAACTGGTTCCACTGGGGCTCAAACCCAGGACTTTCTGCGTGTAAAGCAGACATGATAACCACTACACTATGGAACCTTGCGGTGAGCCCATGGGTGAGTCGAACGATTCATGCGCAACAGTTCATATCCTTTTTGCAGTCTGATCATAACCACTAAGACAGAGCCTACGGTAGGCCATGAGTGAATAGTCAGCATCCCAGTAAACAGGGCTGCTGTGAGATATAATAGGATGGCTCTTTCCACACTGAGAGTTCAGCCTGCTGTGCAGGAAGTCGCCAGTTTGTCATGATCCAGTTTACTTTCCGAACTCTGTGGAAGCGTTACATCACATTATATTATCGGCAATTAACAGAAGCTCTTATCCAGAGCCAGTTACGTCAGCTAGAGTTTTGTATTTTTCTACAGTGCTATCCATTGATACAGCTTGATATCTACTGAGGCAATTGTGGGTTAAGTGCCTTGCCCAAGGCTACAGCAGCAGTGCCCCAGCGGGGAACCGAACCGGCAACCTTTTGGGTGCAAGTCCCGCTCCTTAAACACATTTACATTTACATTTACATTTATTCATTTGGCAGACGCTTTCATCCAAAGCGACGTACAAAAGTGCAAATAGTGAGCAAACAACAGGCACAAGAGCAAGATGTGTAAAGGTCATATAATGCAAATAGTGCTGAAGCTGAGCGCAAGGTCAGTGACGCGAGCCAACTAATCTGAACTAGGATTGCATCTCAAATACAATTACAGAGAGAAAAATGGAGTACCGCTATACTACCTAGACAAGTGAGCAACAAGTACAAGGCAGGAGTCAGATTCACAACATCAAAGTTACAAGGTCGAAGAGGGAGGTATCAGTCCAGGTAGAGTCTGAAGAGGTGTGTCTTCAGTGCACGTCTGAAGGGTTGGATTGATGGAGTTGTTCTTAGGGGGGTGGGGAGTTCATTCCACCACTGGGGGGCGATGATGGAGAAGCGTCGTTGTGAGGAGCGTGGGCCTTTCGTACTATTGGTGGGTGGAGCGAGGCGTCCGGATGTAGCAGAGCGGAGTTGACGAGCGGGTGCGTAGGGCAGGATGAGGTCCTGGAGGTAGGTCGGGGCAGTCTTTCTTGCAGCGGAAAAGGTGAGAGTCAGGGTCTTGAAGCGGATCCTGGCTGCGATTGGGAGCCAGTGGAGGGATCTCAGTAGGGGGTGACGCGGAGAACTTGGGGAGATTGTAGATCAGCCTAGCAGCTGCGTTTTGGATGAGCTGCAGCGGCTGAATGGTGCAGGCTGGGAGGCCTGCGAGGAGGGCGTTACAGTAGTCCAAGCGGGAGAGCACAGTGGCCTGGACGAGCAGCTGTGTGGAGTAGGTGGTCAGAAAAGGGCGAATCCTCCTGATGTTGTAGAGGAGGAATCGACAGGAACGTGCCGTCTGGGAGATGTAGTTGGTGAAGTCCAGCCTGTTGTCGAGGGTGACGCCCAGCCACACCTGTTTGTTCAGCAGTTTGATTGAATGAATGAGGGCTCATTTCGCGCAGCTGTGATGGCCAAGTGGTTAAGGCGTTGGATTCGAAATCCGATGGGATTGTCCCACGCAGGTTAGAACCCTGCTCACAGCGTCAAACCCTCTTGTTGTCTGCAGAATGAACATGTCTTTCTGGCAAATGTGTCCTTGTGTTGCTATATGAATAAGGTCATGGAAGCAACTCAAACGCTTGATGAAACAGACCAAATCCAGGGGGCTTTTGCTATCTACATGGTTATGTTGTGGAATTGAGCTCGTTCAATAAATCTCCCTGATTTAACATTAACAGCCTTAACCCTTGGCCTGTTGATTGTTTTCTCATTTTATCAGCTATGAAACTAGCAATTAAGATCTCTTCAAACCATTGGGCAAACTCTACTGGATGTCCAGTTCAAAACTTTCACCACTTGGCCTTCACAGCTATAAGGCCTGGGGCTAGTTCAAAACAAAAGTAACTATTTTCCGTGGTTGCGGTGTGTTTATTTTGTTTTGATTCATTTCTGTCCAGTTCAAGGCATTAAGGACTCGGCCATCAAAGCTACAAAGCCTTAACGTAGCGGGAAAAGTAGCTATCACTTTCTGTCGTTATGGTCTCTTTGTTTGTTCCTTCCTTCATTTAAACCATCAACATATCAGACAGCGTAGCTGCGATGGCCGAGTGGTTAAGGCGTTGGACTTGAAATCCAATGGGGATTCCCCGCGCAGGTTCGAACCCTGCTCGCAGCGCTCTTTCCTTTTCTACCTTCAACGGATAAATGCCTCCACCCTCACCCGCTGATGTCCTATGTCAGGACAGCTGTCTGTGAAAAGCATCATGGTCTTTGGTCTGGCTCTCCACCCACTGCGCTTACAGTCTAGGCAAGGTGTCTGATTGGATATTGTCTTTTCAGTCATGTCGTGCAAAGTCGGGGATAGACAGAAATGAGCAAAAATTGGCGGTTGTGACGGTATTGTGTTTTAGAAAACGTCACCCGCTTACATTCTGAAGGTCATATAAACAAAATCAGCCATGATTTTCATAGCCTAACAGAGATCAGTAAAGTTGATTAATAACATGTTCTAGACATTCATAGTATGAGAATATTTAGCAAGAGGGAGGGTGTTCAGGTTTCATAGCCTTCATTAGGGGAGCTGCAGTCACCAGTGTTGAAATTCATCTAGTACAGGAAGGAAGAGGGGTCAAACACACAAGCTGCAAAGGTGTTGTGTCTTTTGTCAAAGAACTGGTTCCACTGGGGCTCGAACCCAGGACTTTCTGCGTGTAAAGCAGACATGATAACCACTACACTATGGAACCTTGCGGTGAGCCCATGGGTGAGTCGAACGATTCATGCGCAACAGTTCATATCCTTTTTGCAGTCTGGTCATAACCACTAAGACAGAGCCTACGGTAGGCCATGAGTGAATAGTCAGCATCCCAGTAAACAGGGCCGCTCTGAGATATAATAGGATGGCTCTTTCCACACTGAGAGTTCAGCCTGCTGTGCAGGAAGTCGCCAGTTTGTCATGATCCAGTTTACTTTCCGAACTCTGTGGAAGCGTTACATCACATTATATTATCGGCAATTAACAGAAGCTCTTATCCAGAGCCAGTTACGTCAGCTAGAGTTTTGTATTTTTCTACAGTGCTATCCATTGATACAGCTTGATATCTACTGAGGCAATTGTGGGTTAAGTGCCTTGCCCAAGGCTACAGCAGCAGTGCCCCAGCGGGGAACCGAACCGGCAACCTTTTGGGTGCAAGTCCCGCTCCTTAAACACTATGCCACACCTGTTTGTTCAGCAGTTTGATTGAATGAATGAGGGCTCATTTCGCGCAGCTGTGATGGCCGAGTGGTTAAGGCGTTGGATTCGAAATCCAACGAGATTGTCCCACGCAGGTTCGAACCCTGCTCACAGCGTCAAACCCTCTTGTTGTCTGCAGAATGAACATGTCTTTCTGGCAAATGTGTCCTTGTGTTGCTATATGAATAAGGTCATGGAAGCAACTCAAACGCTTGATGAAACAGACCAAATCCAGGGGCTTTTGCTATCTACATGGTTATGTTGTGGAATTGAGCTCGTTCAATAAATCTCCTGATTTAACATTAACAGCCTTAACCCTTGGCCTGTTGATTGTTTTCTCATTTTATCAGCTATGAAACTAGCAATTAAGATCTCTTCAAACCATTGGGCAAACTCTACTGGATGTCCAGTTCAAAACTTTCACCACTTGGCCTTCACAGCTATAAGGCCTGGGGGCTAGTTCAAAACAAAAGTAACTATTTTCCGTGGTTGCGGTGTGTTTATTTTTGTTTTGATTCATTTCTGTCCAGTTCAAGGCATTAAGGACTCGGCCATCAAAGCTACAAAGCCTTAACGAGCGGGAAAAGTAGCTATCACTTTCTGTCGTTATGGTCTCTTTGTTTGTTCCTTCCTTCATTTAAACCATCAACATATCAGACGACGTAGCTGCGATGGCCGAGTGGTTAAGGCGTTGGACTTGAAATCCAATAGGGATTCCCCGCGCAGGTTCGAACCCTGCTCGCAGCGCTCTTTCCTTTTCTACCTTCAACGGATAAATGCCTCCACCCTCACCCGCTGATGTCCTATGTCAGGACAGCTGTCTGTGAAAAGCATCATGGTCTTTGGTCTGGCTCTCCACCCACTGCGCTTACAGTCTAGGCAAGGTGTCTGATTGGATATTGTCTTTTCAGTCATGTCGTGCAAAGTCGGGGATAGACAGAAATGAGCAAAAATTGGCGGTTGTGACGGTATTGTGTTTTAGAAAACGTCACCCGCTTACATTCTGAAGGTCATATAAACAAAATCAGCCATGATTTTCATAGCCTAACAGAGATCAGTAAAGTTGATTAATAACATGTTCTAGACATTCATAGTATGAGAATATTTAGCAAGAGGGAGGGTGTTCAGGTTTCATAGCCTTCATTAGGGGGAGCTGCAGTCACCAGTGTTGAAATTCATCTAGTACAGGAAGGAAGAGGGGTCAAACACACAAGCTGCAAA